ACTGTATTTCTGTACAAAATAATTTAATAGAAACATTGTTCAATTATAAATTGAAAGAAAAAACAAACAGGTGTCAGTATCAATCCTGCAGAATACGTTAATCAACATGCGTGTGTGTGTGTGTGTGTGTGCATACTCACACACACACACACACACACACACACAAAAACATACACACATGGATTTTGTTTTAATTTGTGAAGAAACAATATTACATGAACAGTTTAATGATGTCTTTTGGTGCAGTCCACGACTACAGACATATTGAGTGTCGGCGAGATTTGGCAGTCTGTGGAGAAGTTTCCATCAATACTCTGACACCGGTGAGCCAAACAGAATACTTCCAATAACAGCCATTTCAATCCATGGTTGGAGGGGGGAGTAGAAAAAAAGAAAAAGAAAGAAAAAAGAAGAAAAAAGAAAAAAAAAAACCTTGGTGCTGAGCCCTTAAACTCTCAAGCGGAGTTAATGTCATTCTTCACGAGACATGGTTGAGACACCATGAGAAACCAAATAAACTGATGTAAATTTAGAGGAAGGAAGCAAGCCACCTTAAAAACAGTCACAGTCCGTCAACAACTGTGACGCAACGTTAAAGAAAAATAAAAATCAAATTAAAAAAGTTAGTGTACAAATGGGAACACGCAAATCAAAAACAACAGGAAGCAACAGGCATCGTCAACATATTCATACTTACGTACATGATGATAAAAGAGGCCCACATACTGGATTATGGGTAGCTCATTGTGTCCTCACTGGATTTCTGCTCGTAATACTGACTCGGGTCTAAGCTAAGATGCGTGTCTGCGTGTCTGTGGAGGTTTAATGGAAGCATGTACTCTTGTTCTGGGAATGTGCTGCTCGTGTCACTCGGCTTGGCTCGGCTCTAACCCTAGCGGCTCATTTAGACTCACTCCCACCTCTTGGCACTTGTCAATTATTTTTTTCAGTGTGTCAGTTTTACCTCCTTCAGCAGCCTCAAAGAGCAAACACTAGAAAGGGAAAGAGAAAAGGACTGGTGAGGACAGCGTCCAAAGCGAAAGACACTGGAGTGAATATTTGAGGTAAAGAGGCTGTTTACATCTTTCCAGAGAGCAGCAGACAGAGGCAGTTTCTGGAGCGCCTGCTGATACAGCCGCTGGACCTGCAAATGTGCGAATAAAAGCACAAACACACCAGAGTGGGAACACACAGTCAGTTCAGTCGGACACACGCAAATCTTCACAGCCGCAAACATTCAGACTCCTCCTCAAACACACAAAAGCACACTCATTGGTCTTCATCAGAGGTATGCCATCTAAACTCTTACATATTCGTGCACTGAGCATACCCTGCAGAAAAAAACAACAGATTCGACAGAATGAAAGCAGAAAAACTTGAGACATCGGCCACTGTGAAAGTCATGACCTGACCTCTGACCTCTCACTCACCTCTGCTCTTTGCCTTTGCTCCTTCTCAACAGCAATAGCTCTGGCAAGAAATATATCGACAGAGGGTGTCAAACACTTCACCTCATTTCTGCTTCCAAATCAATGGACATCACATTCACCATCCACTACAAAACTGAAGATGCGTGTCAAAAGAACGGCATGCAAATGTATTTGAACCCCCAGGGTAAGTTCAACAGGAAGAACTGCACGTCTTTGCGTCTTGCACGTTTGCACATCTGGACAGTAAAATCTTTCATGTTCTGGATAAGACCGAATTTTAGACGCAGAATGCCTCATCTTCATCAAAACAAGCTACGCAAAAGAAGTGGAGAGCTACACCATAAGAGCTTTAGAATATCATCTCATTCGGACACACGGAAACAGATTAGCTTGATATATTTGGAGCTCATGAACTTACATTTTCCAGATGGCCAGACAGGTTGGGACGCTACAGCACAACATTCTGCTTTGCAATTTAAAATGTTCAACATTGCCATCCTGCCATTCTTGCTGCAGCAACCTACACAACGACAAATGAGACTAAACTCGAGGACATTAAAGTGTCTTTAGAAGCTGTGACTGTATCCAGTGCCACCTACTAAAGAAGTTAAAGAATCACATATTTCCCCATTATAGAGAAGCCAGGAAACGATTACAATTATGCACGAGAAATATTTACACTGTATAGAGTAACAAAAAGACAAACTGTGGCAAATCGCAGGGAAATACTGGTGCTCTTCATGAGCTTAATTTAGCATCAGAATAAATCCAAGCAAGTCTCCTGTTTACCTTATGGCCAGTTCAGTATTGGTTGGCATGATATGCTGAAGTCTTTCCAGGATAAGGGAATGTTGGGATTGAGGGAAACAACCCAAATAGAAGGATATGACCTGCAATGCACACAGCACAAAATGCAAACACACTACATCTACACGGTCCATAAGCTTTACATGCAATCATCAGGGTGCAAGCTGAAAGTATGAGCTGAAAAAGATGAAGGACTGCTTTAAGGCTTCATCATGACATACCTTGTTATGGAAGCTGAAGCAGCTCCAGTATTGTGAGGAGCTGAAGGGCAGGGTGAGTCTGCTCGGCACAGTCTCCAGACAGCGGTGCACCAGACTTGTAAACATCTTCAGCTCGCGAACACTCGGCTGCGGCGCCAACATCTTACTGCTGGCGAAGGACAGATAGCTGGGGAAAAGAGACTAACTGTTAAGAGAGAAAACACCACGACTATCTGCACCCAGCGAGGATGACACACAGATTAACATGATATCTACTCGATGATTTAATGCTGTGGTAATAAACACATAACAACTGATAAGTTAGGTTTCACAACTGTACACTTTACTTACTCTAGCCAGAGGGTGTGAATTAACTCCAGCTTTGTAATCATTCCCAAAGCTTTCTCAAACGCATCAATGGCCTCTCTCACAACGCCGTAGGTAGACTGCCAGAAACTGTGTTAAAGTCAAGAATGAGGGTTAGAGCAGGATGGGAGTGGAGAGCAGAGCAAGACAGACAGACAGACAGACAGACAGACAGGCAGGCAGAGACAGACAGAGACAGACAGACAGGCAGAGAGACAGATGAACAGACAGACAGATGAACAGACAGACGCACCAGTGCAGGAGATGCAGGTACGGCAGCTGAGCTCTGATCTCGTCCTGAAGATCATCTTTGAGAGCTGGAACTCTCAGCAAGTCTTGTGTAGGAACACCAAGAATATGGCTGAAATCATAAACATCAGATCTTACAACACTAATACTGCTAACAGAAGAGCAAGTATGAGTGAAATATACTTGGTGCACATGCCATAACACAGGAACAGAATGATCTGTCATGGAAAAACAATAAATCCTATGTACAGAACTGGATTTTCCACAATTTTCTAAACTATTTTAGAGCCTGAGAAAAACCAGAAGAATTTAAATTTAACTGATTTCTTTTCCAAATTGCACTGACTGCTATATACGTGACTGCAATGTTTCAGGAGTTTAGGACACATGCTTATACACGATAACGGTTTTATTTCCTATTTGGGTTTATGTATATTCTTTATTTCTTAAGATTAACCTTTTTTTCCCTAGACATTGTTAGATGCCAGTGTTTCCAGTCATAGCTATGCAAAGATTCGATTTCAAAAATAGTATCATTGCTATTTCTTATTATGATTTTAAATCTGTATTTAACCTCAGAACGATCTCGGAGTAAAAAGAGGTGGTAAAGTCTGGTTTTGTGGTGGCTGTGCTTTAAAATGAAATTATTATAATCCTAATTCAAGTGATGATGGATTTTGAAAGTCTGACAGTAATCAGAGGTGAGTACTACCGTTTGCCAAATAATTAACAGTTGAAAACAGTCGTTAGTAAAGTAAAAAAGTAAAGTAGAATTTAGAAAAGTAATCAAATGTAATCAGTTACATTACTTTAATAAAGTAACTGCTATAGTTACACTGCTACATTTCCAAAATAACCTTCCCAACACTGCAGGCATCTTCTGTTTATGCGATCATTACTGTGGTGTCAGTGAGGACGTTACCGTAACACATCCAGCGACTTCAGCTGATCTTGCACAGATTCACAGAAAGAGTGCATGAACTTGTCAAAGAGCTCTTCCATAACACTGACGCTCCCCTGCGCAACAGAAAAAAACTCACAGAAATGAGCATCATGCCATCTTCACTAAGGTTTGAATTTTGAGATGATGCTGTAGTCTCACCTGAGCGAGCAAACACTTGCAGAGCTGGTGGAAAACGCGAGCGCTGCTGGCACTGAGAGAATGAGCACGTCTCCACAGCTCTTCAGCTTTCTCGGTGTCCCCTGAGGACAGGTGCAGCTCACCGGTGACCTCCAGCAGAGGGCAGTAGAGCGGACACACCGCCAGCAGACGCTCACACAGCGCAAGAGCTTCTTGACATCTGAAACAATGCCACTCATGTCAGTAAATGCACAGCACTTCAGAAAGGCTCATCATGGGGAGATGGGAGTCCCTGTACCTGTCTAGTGTCCTGTACAGATGAATGAGGTTTGAGTGCAGAGGGAAACAGGACTGAATCTGCTCACTGGAACACAAACGCTCATCCGTGCAGCCACACACAGCATCTAGAGGAAACAGACAGATCATGCTTGAGCTTTTCATTTTGCGTAGGTGCTGTAACACTGATGTCACACTAGTACACTGTGAATAATCTCATTTTTTGCTTTGAGCCCAAATTCTAAATGGGTTGCACTGGATTATAGGAAAATGACCACATGGTATTTAATAGCGAAGACTGTTTAGTTGGACGTTTCTGTATTGTGTATTGGTGATTGGAGGCGCTTCACCTCTGAACAGGCTGACGATGATGTCAGCGGGTATACGGAGCTCTTGGGCCGTTCTCCAGGGAATGAGGAAGGGATCTGTGCACGTGATTCTGGAGGGGTTGGAGCTGGCAGGGTCGTACAAACACGCCGGCAGACGTCTGAATTCAGTCAGGTGGATATAAGACAGCCACATCAGACAACGGTCGGCCACAGTCAGATGATCCGCAACGCTCGAATCAGAGCCCGAATGCAGCGCACTCTACAGGAACACCAACATATACTTACAACAACACTGAAACAAGGCAAATAATGCAAGTAACTCGACACTATTGGAAAAGACTAAAGAACTGCATGAAACGTCTAGACCAGTGATGGGCAAACTTGGCTCTTCCAGGCCACTTTCCTGCAGAGATTTGGTCCAACCCTGATAAAACTCACCTGCCTATAGCTTTCTAGTAGTCTTGAAGACAATGATTAGCTGGTTCAGGTGTGTTTGATTAGAGTTGGGGCTAAACTCTGAAGGAAAGTGACCTGGAAGGGCCAAGTTTGCCCACCCCTGGTTAGGGTTGGGTATCGATTGTTTTTTTTACGATACCAGTGCCAAATCAATACTTTTAAAACGGTACCGGTGCCTAAACGGTGCCTACTTTAAAAAAAAGAGCCACACAAAAAAAAAAAA